TCCAAGTATTTGCACTCTTACAGCATCAAATTCGATGTTTAAACCTGCAAGAAAATCATAAATTCTGTCCTTTTCAACAAACCTCTTAAGGATGGCTGCATCTTCACTGCACTTCATCTGAATGCAGTGATAATGATCCGTCTCTTGCCATAGACCCTTCAAGAGGTTGGAATATTCGGTGACTGACCGATTACCCTGTCTGGTAGCGGAGATTTTGGTCTTGATCTCATAGATCTGTGCAGCATCACATACTTTGGAATAGGTCTGCTTGACTGCTTCCCATATCTCCTTGGCCGTGCTCAAAAACATACAAGTGTCGCTGATTTCTAGTAACATAGAGTTCCATAACCATGACATAACCATAGAGTCTTGTTCATCCCAAGCATCAAACTTAGGATCCTCCTTCTCTGGACCATTACCAAGCAAGTGGCTCAGTTTCCCTCTTCCTTTCAAGAACGTGCGGACCATTTGAGACCACTTCAGATAATTTTTCCCGTTCAACCTATACGCTGCCTGGATATTCTGCACTTCTCCTGTTGGGAGAGAGCCGTTGCTTCCAGTTACAGGAATCTCTGAAGTGTTGCTGGTTTCAGTAGTTGCTGACATGATTTAGAGAGAGAGATGGAATCCACAGGTTTGATGACACTGGATTTTCACAGAACAAGAACACTAGGAAAAAAGTATTAGCAAAGAAGGCCAAGAGAAGACGATTACCCAGAAAATGAGCCTAGAGCGCTGATACCATGACAAAATTACTGAAATTGGTAATCAAATCAAATTGATTAAAGAATTGGGAATACACTCTTATATATACATCAGAATAATGCTATTCTAGGAAGTTAATAAAAACTGATCCCTAGAAATCAGGGATTGCAATAACTAATAAATCTCTAGCTATTAACAGCCTGTAGTCTGTAAATCTCTAGCTATTAACAGCAGCCTGTACACAACTAATAAATCCCTAGCTATTAACAGCCTGTACACAACTAATAAATCTTATTTTCCCACAATTATTCCTGTCATAACCTTGAGGTTATTATACCGAACTTGGATCCATTTAATTTTTTATATTTTTTCTATTCTTCATCAATTATCAATGTTTTTTTATGGAGATGAATTTAAGTTCGTGGAAAGACTTACATCGGCCATCCGGTGGAAAGTCTTACATGGCCGATGCAATTCTCTATGATGTGAATCATATGCCTACCAGGTTCATAGGCATGGAAGAAATAGGGCAACCAACATTGACCATTAGGGAAATAATTCTGGTTGGTGTTGGTTTCAACAAGTTACTTAAAAAAATCTCACGGCCGATTATAGATCTTCCACAGCTAGTTGTTAAAATCCAAACAGTTGGTGATGGAGGAAGAGCCCAGTAAAGAATCAAGGAGGGAGCAGGCCTTCTGGGCCGCTTCCATTAAGTTAAAAGCTTACTCGGCTGAGAAACAATCTGCCATCAGAGAAATTCTATTGCAAATGTTTTCGGCCGACATGGCTGAAATTATTAAAGAAAATGCAAATCCAAAGACTTGGCATGAATTGCTGTCAAAATATTCATGGGCATACAAAACTTCAAGAAGATCAGGCACCAGAATAATTCCATACTGGAATAATGTTGTTTTTCCAATAGAGATGGCAGTTAGATCGGCTAAAATGACGTTACATAACAACTTGATTCCGATTGATCACGATCATGCCTTGTTAGCGATGTTGGAAAACTTTGATGGTGAAGTCCATTTTGGGTCTATAGATGGCAGAAACCTTGAAGGGTATCAGCCAACTTTTTGAGAAGTTATGGAAGAATGTGATCGGCCAGGACAGCAGGCTGACATGAAATAAATACCATCTTCATGGTGATTCGAAATAAAGGAAGTTGATATCGTTTGGAGTTCGTTTGCCATTTTATTCCAACTATTAGTTCAGCTATGGTTATGAAAAATCCCTTCCTTATATATTAAATTTCAAAAAATCTTATCGGCTTGGGTAGCCGTAAGACATTTGAAATTTGGGGGGCATAATGTTGACACACAAAAATGGCAGCCTAAGTGGCAGCCACTTTGGCATCCACGTGGACAAATGAGGGAGAGACAAGTGGATCAAATTCATGATCAAACAATAGATTGACACGTGGGCTTCATTGAAGGGAAATAAAATTCCAATACTTGTGTCGTTCGGCAGATAACAAATGTGTAATATTTCAACTGACATTTGGAAGAATGCAGAAGTTCACATGTGGCAGAATTATATAGTAACAGCTGACTATATAATTCAGCCACAAAATGGGTATAATTAGTACTCCAAACAAGTCCTAAAAAAGAGGGATGATGGGTCAACTCAATGCTATAAACAAGGAAGTGTTAGACACTTGGCAATCACAGAGATAAGGACAAGAGATGAAGGCCTATTTTGAAGGTAGTGGGCTAATAATCAGTTTGCAAGTGGAAGAAGGAAACAGTTCGTGGGTCTGGAAGTTGAACTTCTACCGCTAGCAATGGGAATTCTTGGATAGATTGCTTCCTAAAATCAAGGAGGGGATTGGCCTAACAAGTTTGACACGTATAAGAACTGCTATAAACTGCCGAACTCAGTTTAGAAGTTCCTATTTTTAAGGGATTTAAAACTAAAGAGTAGTTAAGGAAAGTGGTTCCTAAAATCTAAGGATAATGGGATCATTGTTAGGCAAGCAATCCATTTCAAAAGGAATGAAGCAGCAGCAGTTGAAGGACGTGGTATATATATATATATATGTAAGTGGTTAAAGAACATGGGACACATGGCAGCAGTAGAAGAAGTTCACAGGTCGTGGGTCTGGAAGTTAGATTTATACCGCTGAACATGGGACAAGTGTCTTGTAAAGAAGAAATAGGCAGTTACTTAATAGGACATGGGTCCTTCTTGTAAGGCTTGTAATGCCTATAAATAGTGTACTTGCGACTACATTGCAAACTCTCTCAACAACATCAATCAACATTCAATACTTTGTATTTCAATTCAAGCAATTTCAATACAAGTCTTTTCAATTCCTTTACATTCATGCACTTACTTTCAGTATTGCATTTCAATTCACTAGATAGCATTGTAGTCTTAACTAAAAGTCCTTTCATCGAAGGCAAATCTGAAACCTCACAATCGCTTGATCATTCCAAAAGGATCTTCCTTTTCGTTTGACCTCTCTGAATCTTCCGAGATTCTGGCACGCCTGCATATTCCAATTGTCCCAATTTTGTGGAAACAACACCACATATATATATGTACATATTAAATAATTTCACAACCTTATATAGCATATTAAACAATATGAATATGATGCAAATGGACCCAACTAAAATCTCCGTATGCAACAATTCCGGCAGAGGGTCCCACACAGAACCGTCAGGCCCGAAAAACGGAAAATGCGAAAATGGTCACCCTTGCATTTCAAAGAGTTCTGAACTCAATGGAATGCCCCAGACAACTCTCCGACACACCTGGCACACCCCATAGTGTCCGGTACGCACAACGTGAAAAGACAAAAATGCCCTCGCATCAACAAAATTCCGGAAAAATGAAAAATGGAGAAAATTGGAAACATCACAATGCAAGTCACAACTAACACCGAAAAACCCTTAGTAACATTTCAGATGCTAAGGGAATACCTCCAAAATAGGAGTCCGAACCTAGGAAGAGAAATTAGACTCTGATACCATGTTATAAAGCATAAAACGGAAGCGAAGAGATAAATAAAACAAGAACACATATATATTACGTGGTTGAGCCACTACGGCCTACATCCACGGCACAAAGAGCCCAAATGGCTACATCACTTTTATTCTAATCTCTCAACTCATACACAATACAATGGTGGAGGCTCCTTTATATAGTAAAGGATGAAAATGAAAAGAGATATAAAATAGGAAACAAGGAGGATTTTTCTCCACTGATTCCTCTAATAATACCAAATATTCAATAGTAGGAAATAAGAAAGATTTTCCTCCACTGATTCCTCCATTAAATCTTCAATACTTCTCCTCAAGTTGGAGCATGAAATGACGAGTAACAATAAGTGTGAATGATGAAGAGAGGAGAGAAGACGAAAAGCAATGCTACCGAACACACCGACAACCCAAACAAGTCAACAAAAACTGCCAGAGACACGGCAAAGGTGAAGAACATTACTGCCGAACAAACTAGTAGCTCATGTATTTTTTTGGATAGCTTGAGGTTATAGTGCATCTTTTGATCCTTGTGCAATTCTGGTCTTGGATTATATAGCTTAGATGGGTTCTTTTTATTGGAATCCTGATATTCTCATTATATTCTCTTTACCAGCCACTTGTCATAAAAAAAAAAAAAAAAAAAAAAAAAATTAATACAGTTCTTGTGATATTGTGGCCCAAATTTTGTTTTGGCCCATGACCCGATTATTTTTTGACCCAAATTTTCTTGCAGGTCATGAACCTAGGTTATAGACTGTGTTGCCTTGTATATTAGGGCATTTAGGGTTTGTGGTGTGGTACGAGAGAACACTGAAAGCAGCAATTGAGAGAGAGAGAGAGAGAGGTTGGGGCTGAAACTTGTAATATCCTGTTTTTTGCATAGTGAAATCTTTTGCCAGATCTTCACCGAGACGTAGGCATTCCGCTGAACCACATTAATCTTTGTATTCTATGTGGTGCATGATTAGTTTTCTGTCAGTTTTTTGATTGTTTTCTTGATTCGCAGTGTTAGTCATAACAGTTCTGAGTACTGAGATTTGGTATTTGCATTTTCTTGTAAATTTTCTATTTGCCTTCATCTCTGTTGCAATAATATTAGGAAAGTCCATGCAGGGCTTATTGAGAAGGATTGTTGATTTAAAAAAGTCTCGACTTTGAATGCACACATAATGCAACCTCTCTATTGATTTTTGTCACTTCTCCAGAACTCTAGCAAGCAGAAAACTGAAGACAAATACTTGCCAGCTGTTACCATTGTAGGTTTTTTTTTTTAACCTTTTACCTCAGAACTTCATTTTATCTCAGGCAAATTCTATTAGAACAGCTGCCATGAACTATTTTCTGGATGCTGGAGTCCAATTGGGAGGAGCACCTCCAATTAAAGTGAGGATGAAATTGGTTATTGGTTCTTTTTTTCTTTCAGATTACTCTGGCAACTGCTGTTTTCCTCTCAGCTATAATGAAATGTGAATATTTTGCAGGGTGTTTGAGATGCAGTTGTGGAGTTACTGCACACACTAGTTCCTGTGCATGTAGAGGTACTTACCGTGTTGGCCTGGCAGAATTATCTTCGTGACTTGCGTTGCTATACTTTTTCCAGATTGCTCATCTATATATATTACTTGCTACACTTCAAACTATAATTGTTTCCCAAATGATTACTGTAGAAGTTATAACCAATCAGATTTTGTGGCATTGTACAATTTAGGTTCTTTTGCTTAATCAAACTTGTGAAGTTCAAGCAATTTCCTTGTTGTGGGTCTTTGCTGGTTGTAAACCCCTGCTCGACAAGGCACTTGGTATTCTTGTGGAAGGTTTAATTGATACTTTCCTCAGCCTTTTCCATGAAAACAAAAACAAAAGACCTGAGGTCATTGGATGCAAATGGTTTCCATTAGCTTATGCTTGAGGTTATTATGATGCTCCACTTTCCTTACTGAATTCTTTTGAATCTGAATTGCTGATGTTTTTGAAAAAACATTTTGTGCTCCTATAGCATCTGCTAATGTGATAACATTGTGCATTACAATGAAAATGCAGCTTTTAGATTTTGGGGGCTAGATAGATGAAATTCTTTTATTTATTGCCTTTTATTTTAGTTTAAACATAATATTGTTTATGATGTAATCATCTTGCGTGTTCCCTTACCTGGATTACAAATAAATTCAGTTACATCTGTGTGTCATTTAAACTAGATTCTATTTTTTTTTTTTTTTTTTTTTCCCCTAGATAAACTAGATTCTATTTTGTGAAGAAAAAAAAAAGGAAAAACGAAAAAAAGAAGAAATGATTCAGAGACGAATCGTTAAAAATCAGAAGCAAGAATCACATTCGGTCCAATATTAGATCATTAAACAGAAAGTTGTTCAAAAAACACAAATTAGTTTAAACATTATATTGTTTATTAGTTTAAACATTATATTGTTTATGATGTAATTATCCTGCAATTGGAAGTTTTATGGGGAAAAAAATTTGAGAAACAATTTATTATTCCATGTAAATATCCTTGCTGAAAAATGCACTAATTGTTGTGCTCTACGGATACTATAGTTTCCCCTTGTACAAGTAAATCCCGACTGAGATGTCTGTCACTGTTACTTGGTCAGACAGTTAAATGTTTGACAAGTATTGTTTGCAGCTTGAATATTTTCAGGCCATATTGAATCCATATTTTACACCTGATGCAAGCCAATCTCTCAAGTCTTTACAAGGGGTGCTGCCGAGAAAATGTTGCAGAATCTATTGAGACTCCAACTCATCACCGCCAGCCAACTCGTGGCAGTGAATATGCGGTTTCAGATGATAGGCAGCAATGGACAACTGTCACCGGATGACCTGATTGTAAGAAACCTACCATTGCTTGATCCCTTCTTCCCGTGATACTTCTTTAGCATTGAGAATACTCTGAAAAAGGCTGTTAAAGAAGCTAAAGGAAGTGAAGAAGGCTGTTAAGGTATGGAACAAAACCAAGTTTGGTTCTGTTTTTGAACACCTTATTACAGCCAACGATATTCTGGGGGAAAGCCAATATGATCTCTCTCTTCATCCTTTGTGTGAGGACAACATTAAGAGGGAGGCAGAAGCTGGGAAAGGCTATGAAATTGCATTGTCCAATGAAGAGATTTTATTGGCACAGAAGGCTAGAATCAAGTGGACTAAAGAGCAGGACATAAGTTCTAAGTTATTCTTTCAGAAAATCAAGGCTCGCAGAGTGCATAATAACATCACGGTTGGAAGATGCAGCTGGAAACATGGTGCATGATGCAGCTAGAAATATGGTGCATGATGCCAATGGTATTAGTGATATGCTGCTACAACATTACATTGGTTTGTTTTCAACTAATGGCTAAGTAAATACTCCTTCTGCAGAATACTTAAGGAAGACAATCAATTGTGAGGAGGCTGCTAGGCTCGAAGCTCCATTTACAAGGGAGGATGAAACTAACTCTTTTTAGTATGGGGATGGATAAAGCTCCGGGACCAGATGGTTTTACAGTCAGGTTCTTCAGGGATTATTGGGAGATTGTGGGTGCAGAGGTAATTGATGTTGTGCTGTATTTCTTCACTCAGTCAACTTTAGGCAAAGGCATGAACAACACCTTTATTACCTTGATCCTTAAGGTCAAGGAAGCTACAAAGGTGGGGGTATTCAGGCCAATTTCCCTATGCAATGTGTTGTTTAAGATTATCACAAAAATATTGGCTAACATACTTGGATTGGTTCTAGACCAGATTGTGGGAAAGGAACAGAATGCTTTTGTTGGTAGAGGAAATTCAAGATAATATTATTCTAGCTAATGAGTTATTAAGAGGATTTGGAGCTAAGCATACTAAGCCTACTTTAGCTTGGAAGGTTGATTTGAGAAAGACATGATTTTGTTAGTTGGAGTTTTTTGCTAAGCCTATTGCAGATGTATGGGTTTGGCAGCAAGTAGATTGGATGGTTCAGGCTTGCATTTCCACTGTTTGGTTCTCTATTTTGGTTAATGGAAGTCCTTGTGGTTATTTCCAACCAACAAGAGGAATCAGACAAGGATGCCCTCTTTCTCCATTGCTGTTTACTCTGGTGACAGAATATCTCTCATCAATGTTTGATTATGAGTGTAGACAAGGAAACTTGGTTGTGTCCAATGCTGCTAGAAGAGCTAACCTTAGGGTCTCACACCTGTTTTTTGCTGATGACCTCCTTGTGGTTGTTAGGGCTAACGTGGCCTCTGTGTTCACTCTTAGAAGAATTATGAAGCACTTTGAAGATGTTCTGGTTTGACTGTGAATAGGGATAAATCAGAAATTTACCTCACTAGATCTGTAAAAAGGAAAGCAAATGTGTTGAGAATCCTTGGCTGCAAGCAGGGTACCTTACCTTTTACTTATTTAGGCTTACCAATTTCTGATAAGTGAAAAGATTGGATTGTAAGCCTCTTCTTGATAAAGTTATGGCAGAAACGACTAGGTGGGCTGGTATGAAAATATCTATGCTTGGCAGGGTTGGGCTGTTAAGGGCTGCAGAAGGTCTATACTATTCCTGCAACTGTCATAAATCTGATAGAGAGAAGGATGAGTAATTTTGCTTGGGGACATGATGATAACAATGTTAAGTTGCATGGTTTGAGTTGGAAGTAATTGGCTGCTCCAAAATCAGAGGGTGGATTTGGGCTGAGGAAGTTGGTGGACATTGACAAAGCAGTCTAATGTGTCTTGGCTTGGGACTTTCTCATCTCTAAGGATAGGTTGTGGGTGGCATGGTATAGGCAATGTAATCTCAAGAGGTCTAATTATTGGTTTGTGGTGCCTAGAGAGGCTCACTTAGCCATTTGGAAAAGCATTGTAGCAGCTAGAGACAGTTTGAAGGACAATTGCAAATATCACATTGGCAATTGACAGTTGATTAAACTGTTCCTTGATCCATGGTGTGATGGTCAGTTTCTATCAGAGAAATTCAGTTTTCGTACCTAAGAATGGTGTCTACAAATAAGCAGATTGATTTAAGCAGTTTTATAGTGCAGAATCAGTGGAACTTTGTTGAAGTTCCATTGGATGTTCAAGCTTGTATGCAATGTGGCAGCATGAGATGTTCACATTTAAAGCTGCTTGGGAAGCATGTAGAGTTTCTCAACCAGTTGTGCCTTGGTTTTCTCTGGTCTGGAATGGTGGTAGGCCTAGGTGGTCTGTTTATTGCTTATTAATTCTGCAGAATGTTGTTTTAACTGGCCATAACCTGCAGAGGAGAGGTATATCTTTAGCTTCGGTGTGCTGTCTATGTTGCAGGAATGAAGAACTGGTTGATCATGTGTTTGTGGCTTGTGAGTACTCTTGGCAAGTTTGGTGTGGTTTAGCAAGTATGTTCCATTGGAGGGTTCAAAGGCTGTCATATGGTGGATTTGCTGCTGATATGGAACAGCAGTTTCAAGTGAAGTCTGTTAGGAATAGCAGATTGCACAAAGACATAATGAGGCCTCCATCCATTCTCATTAAGAGCATTGTTTGGGATGTTTTGGATGTTGCAGGGGTTTGTCTCCAAGATGCACTACATTAGTTAGGGGTTTAGGGGCTAGGAGTAGGGTTTATCCTTACTGCTTCTTTTGTTCTTCTAGGGTTTGATTCAGTGAGGTCTTGATCTTACTTTTTGCTTTGTACCATAATGTTATATATTTATAAAAAAATTCTTCATTCAGATAAAAAAAAAGAGAATACTCTGAACAAGTTAAAGTACTACATTATGTTTTGTTTGTGTGGGTTTTTGACAGAATTTCACTACAGTATTTAATATCTTTTTTTGCAAAACAGAAAACAAAGATTTCTCTCGTATGTTTATCTCCTCAGTCTTGCCCAGCAGGCAGCAGCACAGCTCCGAGCTACTAAATGCAGAGCTTGGGGGGTGGGGGGATCAGAGGACCAATGGATTCCCCCAGCAGTAGTTTTCGTGGAAAGAAATGCACATTCTTCCTATATGACTTGTCTGCTGTTTGTTCGGGCTTTATAGCATTCCATTACTGTTTTGACGACTGAGTCTTTGTTACATGATAAATTAAACTCCCCTCTACTTTTAAGAATTTGCAAATACTCTTCTGGTGAAGCAATTAACCTCCTTAACTAATACATTTTTATAAAATCTAAAACAATATAATTATCTTATAAAATATAAGACGAATGTAGGAGAATATCGAGTACACAACAAATAATATCTATATATAAAAAAAAATAGAGATTTTGTTGTTTATGGATTATATTTTCATAAAAATAATGCTTATTTTCTTCTTCTTTTTTTTTAAAAAAAAAAAAAAGAAAAGAAAAAAAGAACATGTTTACTATATGGCTTTGAGAAGATATACTAAATGTGAATGGAAGTTTCACTGCAAAAATAATTGCTAATTTTAGATTTTGTTGTTTATGTAATTATATTTTTTCCTAAAAAATAATGCATATTTACATTTCTTAAAAAAAAGAAAAAATAAATAAAAGTAAGACTTGGTTACCACTATATGGCTTTAAGATGCTATTAGAACTGTATATGGAAGTTTCACTGCAAAATAATTGCTAGGGCTTATGAAAACTTCCTAGCTCTGACTCTTTGAGAACTTTTTTAATTTCTCTTCCACATAAGGGCTTGTGGCAAGTATATATAACCAAGAGGGATAGATCTGTCTGAAAAGAAGGCAAAGGGTGTTTTTTTTTTTTTTTTTTTTTTTTCATGTCTTCGAGTTATTTTTTTTAATAAGAGTAATCCTCCAAGAAGTGTAAGTCTCTCTTATTGTTTAAAATCCCATCATTTCTCTAGGAAGAATTTGCTAACTAACCGGAACTCGGGTACCTCCCTTTAGGGAGAATTTGTTATCGTCCCTGACAACGGGGTACCTCTCAACTATCATTTGGGGCCCGAGTTACTAAATTACTCACGAATACCTCCCGCATCCGTATTAGCTAGCTAATACCACCGATAGAGAGGTATCTCCCCAAGACCAAATTTGAAAAAATATTTCCTTAAAACTTCTTCAAAATTTATCACATTCCACATTCCACATTCCACATTCATCTCTACACAACCATTCCCAATTATCATGAAATGTCGTCAATGCCAAGGGTATGCCATGCACCGTACTTGAATAATTTCATTTGTCAATCTTACATTCTCAACTCTAAAATCAATTTAAGTTCAGCATAAATTACAGCTTGTGGGCATAACATGTATTTGCAATAACAACAACACATTAATATTAGGGTCAA